TTGACTGGGAGAAATCATATCCTGAAATGGCAGTTGATAAAATAGTCACCATGGTAGCTAATTTCGAGAATAGATCATTTTCTTTTTCATGTATCTCAAAACGCACCCTTTGAGATCAAATCCCTGCACATGATCGTTTATGTTTTTGGGTTGATTGGATGGTGAGATAGATGCTCTGAATAGCATAATATAAAGATGTGGCAACTTTTGTGGCTGTTCCACCTGCATCCCGTACTTGTACTAGCCTTCTGAAGTTGTTTAGAATGCTAAGTTGGAAAGTTTGATTTGTTGGATTCCTTACTGTGAAATTTAGGGAAAACCCTCAGACCTTTAAAGTGAACGAAGTTTTTCTGTAGACTTTGGGGCAAGCAAGATAATGTGTTATGGACATGCTCATTTTGTCCACAGCAAGGTCAAGCATACATGTACGTGTGGTTTTATAGAATTCCAGGACTGATAGTGTACTCTTTTGTGTAGAAGTTGGTTGTGTTTGTTTGCAAATGCATGTGATGATCTCTTTACTTGCATTTGTTCCATCATGGTTGGCCCAATTTGCTTCACAAACTAAATATTTGATCTTTGCCACAGGGAGGGAAACAATAAAAGATCATTTGGGGAAGGAAATTATACAGAACATGAGTGAAGTAAACCAAGGGAATAATCCTGATGCTTCAGCAATCATCCCTCTGAAACGCAAGCGTGGTCGTCCACGCAAGTACCCCAAACTGGAGGTTGATCATAATGGGAATGCCTATGTTCCAAGGGATCAAAATCCAAACCGTGGGGAGAATGCTCGTACTACTCCTGGATTTGGAGGGGTCAATGGTAATCAGCCACATCAAGTAGATCCAGTTAATGATGCAATTGATTCCATGATAGGCCAGTCAGTGCATGGTATTATAGAGGCGACATTTGATGCTGGATATTTGCTTAATGTCAGGGTTGGTGATACCGAAACAACTTTGAGGGGTGTTGTTTTTAAGCCTGGACATTACATCCCTGTCATGCCAGAAAATGATATCGCCCCAGGTGTCCCAATGATCAGAAGGAATGAGATTCCCCTTCCGAGAGAAAGCAATACTAAGGTTCACAGCCGTAATCCTGGGCCTAGAGACATAAATGGAACTGCTCATGCTACCCGAGCTGCTAATCCAGCTGGATCAAAAGGTAAGCAGGTGCTTTCAGTGGTACCCCAAACCCCTGCAATATCAAGAGGCAATTTGGTTCCTGTTGTACTTCAGCCAGCCAATCTATCAAATGGTGCACCTAGTGCCAGTGCCACAAGCCAAACTACCCATCCGGAGACTTCAAAAGGCAAGCAGATTCGAGATGCTGCTCATTCATCAAATGCATCAACACCAACAAACGAAGTCATGCAGTTTCAATCTCAAAATAACAACCAGGTGATGCATTCAGGATCGCAAAATACAAGTCCTTTTAATCAAACTCAAGCTGGGGGACTACATGAATCAGAAGCCAACCCAACGAAAACAACTGGTGTGCCTTTTGAGAAACTGTTAACTGAAGTAATCAAGAGGGTTCCTGCTCCATTACAGTCAACAGATACTAATAGTAGCTCAGCTGTTAACTTGCCTGTGAAAGATTCTGGTATTGTGGCTGAAAAGGATGTCAGTGACAGAGATCAGGCCCTGTCTGTTGAACCACTGCAAGTTGTACAGCCTAATGTTGGCTGTCATCCTGCGGTTGCATCTAGACCTTCTGAGGAATACAAGACTGGCAAAATGACTCAGCTCTTGCAGGTAAAACAAGTCTTCAACTGAATAAAATCACTGTCCAATCATCCATTATGTACTAAAGGTCATTTCCCAGGTACAAGATCAATGACTTGTTATATACATCAAACCTTAAGAAGGTTTTGCAGGAAAGCATGGCAGACAATCCAGGGGCCTGTACTGAGGGGCCGGCTGCAGGTTTAGATTGAACTAGATAATTTGAAGAGCCCAGAAACCACGCTTGAAGATGAATGGAGTAGTCCTTCAGAGCACACGCGGCAAGGGAAAATGGTGCACTGGTGCTTCTGTACTATGTAAAGTTTCCGGAGAATGAATTACTAGACTTGTACAAGTCTAGAAAATTAGTGATCTTTAAACTAGGTAGAGGCCACACAAGATCCATCTTTGCTCAAAATTGTGAGGCTGAGATGTCTTGTCTTAGACTTATATTTTATTTTAGTTCAATTATAATGGAAACCTAGGTGCATGTTTGCATTTGGTACTGTAATTTATTCATAGTTTGAATTGAAGGATACCTTCTTATTAGACATTTATGCAGCCTCAAGCTTCTATCATGTGTCCATGCCTGGTGCGGGGTTTATGATCCAACTTCCAAAGCACGAGTTCTGCTTTTAAATGTGCTAGAGCCTGATAACTTTGTTCTAAGCAAAGTTATCAGGCACTAGATTATTAGGAGCCACTTTGTTCTAAGCCATCTTGGAGGATATAGGGAAGATATGAAAATAGCATAGATCAAATATCTAGTAAAGGGCAAATAAAGCTTATGAAAACTCATTTTAATTAGGTGGTGTGTTGTTGCTGTTTGAGGAACTGAATGGTCTCAAGATTATCCTCGTGTAGCTGTGGACTAAAATTCATGATAAGCTGATCGCATCAGGTTACTTAGGATAACAGAAGAATCACATTTCAGGCTGAGGTTCTCACACGATGAACTGCTGATAGTTACACCGGGAAAAGAGGATGAGAGATGAAATGAAGATGGCATATTGCAGTCCAACCCAATAAATATTGTTTAATAATATCCATGAGCTACTAAAATTTGCTTCCACGAATCGTGATCAAGGATGCAGAAGCATTAGGGCCAATGTAAAAGGTGACGTTTAAACATACTTAGCAACAAAAAATAGCAAACAGGAACCTTATATTGCCTGATGGAGTAAGGGAGAAGAAAAGGCATCCTGTGGCAATAATCTGTGAACCCAAAAACTACTACAGAATTGAGCGAAAGATGACATGAACGATCCCACTAACTTGATATATCACACCATTGTAGTTGTTACCCTTTTTTCTCAATATAGCACACTAAACACCTTTTGGCTTGTATTATCACTTTCCAAGATGCAATTCTTTCTATATTTTTTTTTTGGTGTGGGGGGGGGGGGGGGGGGGGGGC